GGCCCGATGCACACGTGCGTTTTTCACCGCTGCGGTGCCGCTGCGGCGCCGCAGTTGTTGAATACACACCATTGCGTTTTTGTTGCGGTAACCGCACGTCATCCAGTCGCCCGAGACGGCCTTCAGCATGGAACATCACTTTAGTTAGTTTTTAGTTGCCATTCAGTTACCAACTATGGAGGTTTATTACAAAAAAAAGGCAATTTTAGCGTACTTGGTGCACAAAAAATATGTACGTACGTATGATAGACGTTACTGGGTGCACCCATTTACAGATTCAAGATTATTAAGAGGTGAATTTTATACTACATTCAGTGATATAAGAGAAAATCCAGAAAAGTTTTTTACTTATTTTCGAATGAGTGTTCGCTCGTTTGACGAACTAGCAACAAAAGTATCTCCAAAGCTTATCTCTCAAGACACGTGTATGAGACTCTCTATACCACCACTAGAAATGATTGCAGTAACTTTGAGGTAAGTTAATTCTATTGATATTATTTATTTGCGTAAGTAAGTACTAAATGTATATATAATATAATATAATATATAAAAGGTATAAACGTGAAAAACATATTTATTTACTTTTTAAATATATGGGGTTTAACATTACAAAATATAGGTACACATAGGAAATGTATAAGTAATGTACCAAATAAAATAATATTACTTTGTTAAATATTTTTAATTAATGTCAAGACTATCTTCTTCACTAACACTGTAATTTTTTCCAATTGATGTACATGGAGATGTAGGATTGGAATCCATCCCATAGTTATTTGATTGATCAAGTGGAGCAGAATATGGGCCAGGTTGAGTATATCTTGGCGGGCTTTGTTGCATGTTATTTGATTGAGGAAGTGGAGCAGAATATGGACCAGGTCGGGTATATCTTGGGGGGCGTTGTTGCATGTAATTGGGAGTTTGATGTTGGTATGATGCAATTTGAGGAGAGTAGTTTGATAACTGTGATGTTTGATTAGCATATAAGTAATCCTGATTAATTGGTGGATAACCATAGTTTTGTGGCGGTAAAGTTGCAGCCCTCATCCGTTTTATAATATTTAGTACTTCACAGCGGAATTCTATTTTCTGGTCTTCTGTTAAATTTGCAATGGATGGCAATATGCTGTCGAAAAAAGACCTGTCTGGATTTGGTTCTGGAGCTGGTGTTGTTATAATTTGACTCGGAATAGGAGTGTTTAAATAATCGATTAAAGATGACTCTAAGTCGTGTTTGCGTTTTTTTGATGAACTGCTTTGTGTGTATGAGGGAGGTGTTTCAGCTTCTTCGTTAGATTGGTTTGCTAATAATTCTGTATCCTCCTGTTCGTCGTTCCCATCAAAACTACCCTGTGTATTGGTTGTGGCCCCGGCTGTTAGTAAAAAAGATAGCTGACGATCATAAATGTAACGTCTCGATAAGTTGGCACCCTGTCCTGACGTCGTTTTGTTTTTTTTTTTACTTTTAGTATAATTGTCTTTTATGTTTCTCCACTTTTTGATAAGTTTTTCACCTAAGAAAAAATAAATTTATATAATTCGTGGGAGTATACAAGTGCAAGTTGAAAAAGATGACGGTTTGTCAGTGTGGGTATTTTATATTATATTATTTATATTTTTATTACTTAGTTATTAATACGGTGGCCGGTATAAGTTGAATTAATATTGTAAAATTACAAAAAAAATATTTAAAATACTTATTCTTGGTTTTTTAATATAATTAGACAAACTTATGAAGGATTTTATGAAGAAAATTATCATTTTTTGATGAATTTTATTAAAATCAATTTTGTCGAAAATTGGGTTTGCCTAAAAATTGCCGTTTTTTCCTTAATTTTTTATTTGTTTTTTCACGAAGCTTTTGAAAACTACTTTAATTTTTACTTTTGAATCCCTCCCCCCCAAAGTAACAACTAGATTCACTTTCCTATCAGAAAAGGTACTATTGAAGAAAATCGAAGCATTTTTACTGTCCTAAAAGGTGATGACAGACACAAAAATAAAAAAATAAAAAAACACACATCATTGTAGAATCAATACATTCTTTCGCTTCGCTCAGAATCTAAAAATATATGAGTATAATTATATGAGTCGTAATTTCATTACAGGTACTTGGGAAGTGGTTGTGATCAGATAGATCTACATTTAACTTATCGGATAGGACACTCAACTATTGGAAAAATTTTGAGAAGAGTTTGCGGTGTTATATGGGAAGTACTACGATCTGAAACATTTCCTGAGCTGAAGGAAGAACAATGGAGAGATATAGCAGATGGATTTCAAAACTACAGTCAGTTTCCCAATTGCTTAGGGGCAATCGATGGCAAACACGTTAGAATTCGTAAACCGAAGATGAGTGGGTCACTTTTTTATAATTATAAAAATTATTTTTCAATTGTTTTGCTCGGCATCGTAGATGTAAACTACAAGTTTATTTATATTGACGTTGGCGCTTTCGGTAAAGAATCTGATAGTACGATTTTTGAAAAGACAAATTTTTATAAGGCACTTGAAAATAATACACTGAACATTCCAAAAAGCCGACCCCTTCCAGGTACTAATATAAATATGCCTTACACATTTATTGGTGATGAAGCTTTTTCCCTTTCGTCGAACATCATGAGACCTTACAGTGGAAAAGTATTGTCTCATAAGAAAAGGGTTTTTAATTATAGACTTTCCAGAGCTAGAAGGCATGTTGAAAGTGGGTTTGGTATAATGTCAAATAAATGGAAAATATTTCATAAGCCCATAAATGCTAATTTGGATTTAGCCATTCAAGTGGTAAAAACATGTTGTTTACTTCATAACTATGTTAGAGTTAGAGATGGAATCAACATACAAGATGTCATGAGTGTTACAGGATTTGTTGACGCAGAACAAGATGGAGGAACAACAAGTACAACTAACCAGTATATTCAAACGAGAAATAAGTTGGCTGATTATTTTGTTTCGGATGTTGGCAGTGTTCATTGGCAAAATAATTACATTTAAGAACTTTTTTTTAATGTTATTTAAATTAAAAATTATAATTTATACTATATTCAAATTTGGTTAAATCAGTAAATTTAGGTATTGTCGTAATATTTTAGGGATAATATTTCATTTTACATGTACAATTGTTTTTATAAAATATTTGTTACTTTTTTTAATATAATAAAATATAATGGGTAAGAGAAAAATACAAAAAAATTATAAATTATAATATAATAGTAAGTTGCTAATTGTATAGTTCACCTAAGGATTTACTTAATTTTTCAATAAACATATCTTTATTAATAATATTTAAAAACATAAAAGTTTCGACAGTTTTTCATAGTTATCAAATAGCTATCAAGTATCATAGTATTTAGCAGTGGCGGCTCGTACTATGGAGCACAGGAGCATATGCACCACCTATATTTTTTAAGAATATTAAATTGCTCTTAAGCATTAATTGTAATATATAATATTTATGAAAGGGATTAAACTATTCTGTTGACTAATTAGCTATTACAAATATATTTTATAAATGTGCACCACTAACTATTTTACCCACGAGCCGCCACTGATATTTAGAATACTTTTTAAATTTGTAACTACAAAATAATTTGTGCATTTTCAAGATTTTGACGAATTTTAATAATATTGAAAATACTTACATATATCATTTCTTTCTTTGTCGTCCTTTTCATCAAACGATGGGAAAAAATTCTGGCAGATGCTTATCCAAGCACTTCTTTTTTTGGTCCTATCGTGATAATTTTCATCAGCGATGTTCCAAATTTCTGTATGACTTTTGACTTCACCGATCAACAACTCAATGTCAACATCGTCGATTTCGGACATCTTGCGTGGAAAAATCGGACGTGTGCATGAGTCGATATACAACAATGTACTACTGAACCGGATTTGCGTGCGCGGTGCCGTTGCGGCGACGTTGTTATCTGCGGCAGACACCGAACGCAGCGGTGACGCAGCGGCGCCGCAAGACATGTGCACTGCTCGATTTGATCACATATAAAGTTCGCCGTATTAGCGGCGCCGCAGCGGCACCGCAGCGGCGAAAAACGCACGTGTGCATCGGGCCTTAATATTAAAAACGTGTGTCGTGCACGTTCGCGCGACGTACATAGACGACGTAAAACCATAGATAATATTGTCCGTTATCTTTATCATCTATGGCATTGTGGCGATACCGGGGTCTTATCACCAGTTCACCACTCGCGCACCGCGACGCGCGCCTTTATAAAGAAAAATTTTTACGAATTCTTAACTCAAAATAATTTGCTAATTTTCGTGATTTTTCCATATTTTGTCAATTTTTGAACTTTAAATGCTTATAAAAAAAAACTGTGACTAAGGATTTTTAATATTTTTCAAATGCCATTGTAACAATATAGTAGGAACCTACTTGTATTAAATTTTCAAGCTTTTTTAACCAACAAATAAAATTTTATTAATATTTTTAGAAAAAAAACTAAAAAAATGGAAAATTAAAATGTGCCTAAACAGTTCAAAATAAATCAAAAAATTTTGAAAATTTTATGGTGTATATAAAATGCTAATTTAAACATTCAGTCAAAATTTCATGTACCTACGGTTATTTGTTTAAAAGTTGCACCAAAAACCAAAATCGATTTTTTCGAAAACAGATTTTAGTGTAAAAATTCCCGTTTTTCCTTTAATTTTAATTTTGTTTTTCACGCCGCTTTTGAAAACTACTGAGAAATTTTCACTTTTGACCACCCAAAGTACCAACTAGATTCACTTTCCTATCAGAAAAGCTACTGTTGAAGAAAACCCAAGCATTTTTAGTGTCCTAAAACGTGATGACGGACACAAAAAAAAAAAATATTTTAAATTAAAATATAGGTGGTAACAAAACTAGTCCAGCCAAAATTACATTAAAAGTTAACAGAGAACCTAATATACATTCATACAAGAGTTGTTGTAACACTTTTTAGAAAAAGTAATTGAGAACAAATACAAACATTTTCATGGGTATTTATATTTTTTTTGATCACAAAAAATGTATTTTGTGCTTAATGTTCACTACCGTAGACTAGTATTTATGAATAACTGACAAAAACCAAATTATTTTACATGACTTATGTCTGAAGTTAACGTTGAGGTATGGCCTAATAATGCCCGCTTAATTTAACGGTTCTGGGTGGGTGGGTGTTTGGTAAATTTTTACTAGTTTGCCACCCCATTTTAAATTGAGTTCGGCGACACTGGTCGCCCTGATAGGTACTTATTTCGTTTAATTTGTGTACTAATTTTACCTACTTCCCCCCCCCCCCCCCCATCACCCATCAGAAAGTAATTTTAGTTACTTTATTTAACCAAAAGAAAACTATACCTACACACTGTGGAGTTATGTTCGTGAATTAAATCATTTTGTCAATGACTAATTTAAGAAAACTTTATTTTTAAATTTTATAATAAAAATGAAAAGTAGGTAGGTACCTATTTAAAACAATTATAAACTATACCATCATACTTTTAATATTTGTCGTATTGATAATTAATAATATGTAACTTAAAATTTAGAAATATATGACTAATATAGTAGTGTGTTGTAAATTATTATTATACCTGCAGCAGTTTTTTGTACATACTAAATAAGAAATTATTACTAAGTACGAAAAAAATAAATCATAATATAAGTTATAAGTAGGTATAACTGTAGCCATACAAAAAAATTAATACATTTTGTTTTTCATGTCTATGGTCTTAAAACTAATTAATTTCAACTCTTTAACTTAATTTTTTCTGTTTATTAACTTGATCTATTTTAAAATGGTCAGATCAGGTCGATTCACTCTAACTTTTTAGAAAATTAAGAAAAAACTAAAATAAACGAAAATTTCGTATGCATATAACGAATATCTCGACATGAATCTAAATATTTTGAAAATGTTATGGTTTTTGATTCCAATTTAGACAATCAATGAAAATTGCATGTATTTACAGTAATTTAATTTATAGTTACACCACTTACACGAAATACCAAAACCGATTTTACGTACAAATTCACTTTTTCCTATATTTTTTTTTTTGTTTTTCCCGGCGCTTTTGGAGACTAGGTAGGTACCTACTGTTCATTTCGACATCGCCTATGCAACTACTAGATTCACTCTGCCACCGGAAAAGATGAAAAGCGAAGCATTATTTCGACTACTTATCGTGTACACAGACCCAAATATTAAATTTTATTACGCAGAACGTAAATTTGCTTATTGTTTCAATATAGGTCGATTCATTCTTATTAAAATTAAATAATTTGCTCAGGCTGCTCCTTTGGGGTAGCCATATTTCACGGTAACTTATGTTGAAATTAGATTCAAAAGGTTTTATAACGGCAGTGTTCTGGCAAACAGAGGAAGCAAACGTTTTTAAAAACGCCATATGGAAAATGACAGTGGCCAGCGGGGCGTCAGAAGAAGACACGTCGCATAATATATAATAGGTATTATCGACCGGCGTATCTCCGGCTTTCAAATATAACAATTATTGAGACATTATATTATTATGGTATGAACGTGACCGGAAACCAGCAAAAGGTATTGTAGAACGTCGTCCGGCAGACATCATATATAGCAATATATCTATACCATTTCCGGTGGGAAGTCAGAAGAGGTCATTTCGTATAAATGCCTAGACGGGTTGCAGCTAATAATATAAGATTATAAGTTTGGCCAAATTCGGCCCGCTGAAGTACTTACCAGCCCACATACATACTGGCGGCCCTTGTGTACGTTAATATTCCGTGCATAGTTTTTTTTTTGTTTGATTTTTTTAATTTCTTAAACTTTTAACATATTTTAAGTCACCCTCGTGACTTGAACGACCAAAAATTGTCGCGGCCCATTGAGTTTTACTCGGTAACTCGCCTTGCCAATCTGGCCCTGTATGTTAACAGAACGTTCGGATACGCTAATATTTTATTTCGGATAATCGCGGTTCTACTGTAATGCTATTATATGTCGGCAGAAGGGTGTGACCTGGTGTAATAGTTTTGCTGTCCTACCCACCATCATTTAACTAGGTAAGTGAAATAAGTGAAATACGCCACTGATTGTATATAACTACTTCGATTTTCCTAAAGAAATACACGAATAGGTAACGGCAAAATATTATTGAGTACTGCGTACATAGCGAGCATGCAGTTATACTAGTTCATAGTATATTAAAATATTATATTTACGTGGTGGTTTTATAACGGCAGTGTTCTGGCCAACAGAAAAAGCAGGAGTTTTTAAAAACGCCATATGGCAAATGACAGTGGCCAGCGAGGCGTCAGAAGAAGACACGTCGTATAATATATAATAGGTATTGTCGACCGACGTATCTCCGGCTTTCGAAAATAACAATTATTGGGACATTATATTATTATGGTACGAACGTGACCGGAACTAGGAAAAGAGTACAATATTTCTTTTATAACGTCGTCCCGCAGACATCATTTATTATGGCGTATACCTATACCCTGGCCGGTGGGGAGTCAGAAGAGGTAATGTCGTATAAATGCCTAGACGGGTTGCAGCTAATAATATATAATACAAATCAACAGACTAGGTATGGCGTCTCCGGTTCTCGAAAATAACAATAATTTATTTCAAATACACATAATATTACGTGGGTGGCCCAAAACCTGTATAATGCTCGCATACCTAACGGCGCCCGGCTGCAGACATTCGATAGTGGTGTAAAGTTTATTTTTTATTGCCGTATATATAATATATAAACAAGTCACAATGGATTTATGTCCAACAGATTATATTCTTTAAGGGATAAAGAGAAAACATATACGGCGCAGGGTCTATTTCGTTTCTCTGGAATTTGACGGTAAAATGAAACTTGGACGTTTTTGCACTTTTTAATACCATATTATGAATAAGATCTTTTATAATAAAATAGTTGCCTCCCCGTACGTGTGGGTACCCCCGAATTTACTCCTCCTGCTTCAAGGTACATTGTCGTGCCACCGCTTTATTTTATTTTTTACTTAGTCGGATTTACATTTTTTTTACATTTATCACGTATAATTATTATAGTAAATATACACTTATATAATAAGCCTATAACAGTATAATAATTAGTGAACACGCCTGCAACTTGAATATAAGTTATCATTTACTAATTAATACTGAATGCTCGGATAGTTACAAATATTTTGAAACATAAAAAAAACATAATTTCAAAAATATCTTTATTTTTTTTTTTGGAATGTTAATCGGAAATCGGTGTTGGCAAAATAGGAATGGCGATGATGTACCGTTGAAATGACAATCCAGATTAAGTTTTAGTTATTTCAAAATTATCAATGCAATATAAAATTAATCAATTAATTAAATAAACTAAGGAACAAATCTACTTTACCGGACACCCTTTTTTTTTCAAAATACGTGTTTTTTTATCAAAATAATTTAAAATTATGAAAATACCTACTCCCGATAATGTTTATAGTTATTATGTGATAAAGTCAACGTCGTATACGCTGTAATACATCAACACTAAAACATTTAGTACCGATAAGAAATCCTACTACCTATACTAATGTACTATAAACTAAAACCTCGACTAAAACCATTAGGTATAGTGCGACATTAACTAAAGTCTTTCATATACCTACAAATTTTCAGGCATATAGCAGATTGAATGAAAAGGGTTATAATCATCTCACGGTTAACCATAGTGTTAATTTTAAAGACACAGAGACAGGCTCACACTCCAACACCATCGAAAGCACTTGGCGCCATGCTAAAGTAACATTACCGAATTATAAAAGAAAAAAAGAATTTTACGGAGGGTACCTGACAAAATATTATGTTCATGAAAAAATGTCGTAATCATGATGTAGACAGTAGACCCTACCGTACAATTTTTTAATGCTGCTGGGTCATTGTACAGCGTACATGACAATGTTGAAAATGTTGATGTACAGGCTGAAGAACAATAGGCAGAAGTCGAAAATAACGAAGAAGAGGACTACGAACAATTATGTAATGTATATTCTAATTATGAGTGAATAAAATTTAATTAAAAAAGTGCAAAAAATATTTTACTGTCCACCGGTTTTGATCTTGGTTTGCTGCGTACATAACTGTCCCGCGTTACACACTGCGCTACAACTTGGCATGCAGTCTGGTGAAAGTTACTCATTTAGCATGTTTTATAATATCGACAACTTTGAATTGCCATAACTTTTGAACGGTAAGTTTGCGGGAATTTTTTCAAACAGTTTTGAATTCAGCATAAAAAAGGTGGGAAAGTGGGTGTCGCTCTGCTGTACAGTAGGTTACAAGTGGGTCACTGTATAATGGATGATATTAAATTTGAATTCAACAATATAATATCATTGTATAAGAAAAACGATTCTGAGGGGAGACGGTGTGTCAGTCTAGGTATAAGGCATATTATGTACTTATCTATGGTATTAAAAAAAATTGACCTATTATATGTGTTAAGGTCAAAAGCCGAAATCGGGCAAACCTCAGAAATGCCCGGGCAAAACGCGAACTGCCTGCAATCCTTGGGCAAAATGTCATATTTCGGCTTTTGACCGGGCAAACCTACTTATGACCAACCTCATTTTTACAAAACTGTACACTGACTTTTATCGTAATGGCAAAACCGTAGTGTCATTAGTACAATTATACAAACATAATTGAATAAATTTAATTAATACATTTAAACCTCACTTGAGCCAAACTGTAGCGTTTATAATAACCACATACAAAAAAATATAATTGATCAAAGACGGTCAGACAGCGTATGATGTTACTAAGTATATTTGATAATATTATTGTGAATTAAGTAATTTATATATTTACCTATTTACGTGGAAAATTGTTTTAAATTTTCAATTCTTAGCTACAAAAGTTGAACATTTCATACATTTTTAAATACAAAATAATTATTACATTTTAAATGTGATAAATTTTGTCAACATTTAAACTTTAAATGCTTATAAAAAAAATAGTGATTATGTATTTTTACGTTTTTTTTTGGCAGATTTATTAGTGGGCACCCATAGGTTCTGCCATGCCCGGGTGGGGGATGGCGGCACTTCTTCTCCATACACCGTGACTTGCCGAAGGAAAATGCCTCCCGCGACCAGGAATCGAGCCGGCGCGGCCTGCGTCGCAACCGACGCCTTATACCGCCCAGCCACTCCGTCCCCCTTTTACAATTTATTATAAGTAGGTACTTAATATTCCGTAATAAAATTATGAAGAAGAGAAAAATATATTATTGGTTTTACAATGGTGTTTATTTTTTTTAATGTATACAACATTTCTACCAGAAGGAGTGCTTCGATTTCAACATATATATACATATAGTATCTTATCTTTTAGAAAATTGGATCAAGGTGGTCCTTTAGAGAGGTCATTTTTCGATTTTCTCAATAGTTATTTAATGCCACCGGAAAAACCACCGAAATATCCAGACTGACAAATCGTCTCCGCTCGGAATCGTTTTTCTTATACAATGATATTATGATATTATATCATTGAGTTCAAGTTTAATACAATCCATTATACATTGACCCACTTGTAACCTACTGTACAGCAGCAGAGCGACATCCACTTACCTGCTTTTTTTTTTAAATTTGTTTTATACATATTATTATTTAATAATTAAAAACTCAAACATTTTATATCGTCTTATAAATATGGTATATTTATTTAATAAATAAAAATGTTTTTGGTGACTTATTCTAAACAGACAATGCTATGATGTGTATAAAATATAATGAGTCATTAAATATATAGCTGCGAATCATTAGAATCATTATAGATCCCTATGTAAGCTTAATCGTTGTCTAATTGTTGAATCCAAATAGCATTATAGGTTGACTATCGATATTTAGATCGTGGAAAACTGTTTGAATCATTTGAAAAATACAATTAAAATTAATTAATATTGTAATAATTGGTATTAGTCACTGTACATAATATATGCCATTCTTAAAATGTTAACCTCAGTAATTATTATAGATAATATGGTGTATTTTTTATTCTCTATTATGAGTTAAATTGATATCCATAGGTTATATTAGGTTATATTACATTAGTCACTGATCACTGTATTTCTGTACGTAGTATATGCTAATCTTAAAATGTTAAATTTAGTAATTATATTGTAGATAAATTCTATTTATATTCTATATTATGAGTTGAGTTGATATGCAAATGTTAAATTAGATATACTTCACAACGGTTTTTTTTTAATATTGCAAAATGATTATTTAAAATTATTGATTTACAAACTCCCCGTTGTTAATATTGTCCTCACAGACTGCTATAAATTTAGAGCTTATAATAAAAATTGCAACCTACAAACTGCCATATCGTGTAAATACTGATATTGTAATATATAATACTTACAATTTTTTCAAACTAAACAACTATTTATAAAATAAGTTTTATTTAACTTGTACACCTATAATCATAAAGAATTTAATTTTTACACAATTATTGTACTCGCCAAATAGTAAATAATGTTTTCAAATGTTTAAATTTAATAACGAATTCGGTAAACAAAATCATAATTAAGTATATCAGTTTACATTATCGTACACGGAAAAAAATGTATGGTTGTAGATACCAATTAAATGGTTATCCTAACCAAATTCAGTGGTAGGTATAGGGACTACCATTTATCATAGTTCCAAGTACCAAACCCATTTGGTTGTCATAATTCAGTTGATGTAACCAAACAATTTGGTTAGAAATTCTACCAGCCTACATGGTTCCATTAACCATACACTACGGTTATCCCAACCTAAATTGTTTTGTAATTATAAAGCAATAAATAGTATTTCCAACAATATTGTAAGGTTATGGTAACAATTCTCATCGTTTGTAGTAACCACAATAAAATGGTTGTATAATCACTAGGATATAGGAGGGGGAATTTATATCATATATTATATACATTTTTAATAATATATATGAATAAATAATTAAGAACAAAATATAATGAATAAATTATCTTTGATACATTTTAATATAAATAAACAATTTAAAATATACCCTTAAATAGGTAATACCTACAATATTATTATTTATACATTTTAATATGAAAAAAAAAATATTTAACAAATAAAAATACATTATTATTTTATGGTATAAAATATATAGTTACTTTTTAAAAATTACAAGATACATATGTACAACCATCAGACATTGTGCTACAAACACAAGGACTTTGTTCTACAAGTAGATCATCAAATGAAATACATAATAGATCATCACAATTTTTTATTTTATATGCTTGTAAATGTTCATTAAACCCTATTGTACTTATACGTTGACCAATTAAAAATGGTATGTCACATTGGAGTTTAAAGAAAATATATTTTATAATGACAAATATAGGCATATCTTCAACATCAATTATAATAATCATTCTCTGCTTGGTTGTGTAACGAGTGCCTTTCACCTGAACCCACGAAACAAAACTAACAGAATTTAAATTTGTAGTCTGATTTAATAAATTATTTTGTATTTTTTCTATCTCATTTATAGACATATCTATTACTTTTCCTACGTTTGATGATTCTAAAGATAAAGATAGTGTATTCGATTTAGATAATAATCGATGTGCAAGTCTTAGTTGGTGTTTAATACTCAGTGTATAGCATATATTTTTCCGACTGGTAATAGAATGGGCCGTTAGCTTTGACTCTCTATGTTTAGACTCGTATCTCATCGACCATAAGTGAGATACAGGCCCAACTTTACTCATTATTAATGGATAATGTAATAAGTGGTGATACTTTGGTTTTAAGTTGGTACGAAACAATTTTAAATACAACTCATGATGTTCAGTTATAAGTGTTTTTAGTAATAAATTATGTTCTGGTTGAATTGACTTTAACGTTACGATCTGTATAATTTGTCGAAGTAATATATATAACTGCCAAAATTCCGAATTAATAGGTACAAGGTCACCAATTAGAACACCTAAATGTCTGCTAAAACATAAAACTTCAATTGCTGACATTTTTAATTTTTTTTTATTTCTTATTGTATCCATTGTTATTGACTGAGGTTTGTTTTGGACCTCTAATGGACCATAATTAAAATAGTGTAAACGATTGTTTAGTGTATCTAAAGAAAAGTATTTTAAATTAATTATAAATTCATATAATATACCACATAAATCATAAGAACAAACCCCCTCCAAAATGTCATGCATTAGGTCAACTGAATGATTGTGAACTGCATGGAAACCATCAATTTGGTTCCATACACACAATTCATTGATGCCTGTAAGCGATAAATTATCTATGGTTATACCCTGTGAATAATTTTCTGTATTTCTCATTTTACTGTCATCTTGACTTACTAAATAATTGCATTCAATTTTAGAACACAAACAAAAACGACAAGGATAATTTGCATTAAAGCCTTCACTAAAACCTAGCATTGAGTGTAAGCCCAAGTTATCACCTATGATTAATGCCAATGAAAAGTAGATTGTGTAATTTTGACTTTCTACATTCACAATTATACCATCTTTTTGTAAATAATTAATTTCATTAATTAATTCTTTAAATATATTTTTATTTCCAAACTCCTTACGGTCATTAGCAATAAAAAGAAGAGCAAGAAAAATGTAATTTAATGAAGACTGAAATTCTGGAGGGAGGCATGACCCAAATGATACATAAACTGCCCCTAATTTTTTTTTCCCAGCATGAGCACCAAGAGGATTATTTGTTTCATATTCATCAAAATATAAAAAAAAAGGAATGATTATTTTATCTGGGCTACTTTGACATTTAACTTTCCAAACTTCACTTTGCACAAAACTACAAACAATTCCCCCAGTCATAGAATTTAAACGCTTAAAATACTCAAGAACTGTTTTTAATACATTTGGTTGTTCAAAAAACACTTTAAAAATACATCTTAGTGGAATAAAACAAATATTTACATTAACTAAATTAATTACAATATCATCATTTTTTGTGATATTTTTATTTCTACTACCTATAGCGATTTCAATTGGTTTTACATAAACTCCTAACTCTTCCAAAACTTTTAATCGTTTATGATCGGTTTTTAAATTTTGAAACGGATCATTAATAACATCGAACATAACTGATATTTTACTAATTGAATTTTCATCAGAATTATTTTTTTTTAAATTATCTAATACTTCTTTTTTTAGAATTTGCATACACTTATCATTAAATCCATTTAAGTCATTTATAAGAATTTGCACTTTGTTCCTAGGTACAACCGCTTCATTATACCATTTTGATATAAGCATTATTCCATCCTCAGTAACTAGATTCTTGAATGCCTTAATAGATATGTTACTACAAGAACTTATTTCTAGTTGTTCATTAGATTGTTGATTCAAAATATCATCAATCTGTGTTGGTTCTATATGTAAATTGCTAGAAGACTCTTGGTTCACTAAAGTATGAGTTAACAAATGTCTACTAAAAGAATCAAAAGAGTTATAACTTCTTCCGCATGATGGTTCTATACATTTGTACTCTATTATATTCTCAAAAGAATGAAATAATTTTATATGCCTGATAAGACTTTTAAAAGAATTTACACCAACTAAACAAATAAAGCATGATGCCATTTTACAATTGTTTTTATTAAATATAATTAAAATTAAAATACATTTTAGTGCAACAAATAACTAAAAAGGTAAATGCTTGAAAGTAAAAAATTAAATTTGCAACTGTTAAAATTAAAATTATTAATACATTTTAGTTAATTAACACTTATTTAAGTCATTAACTAAAATAGTGACATTTGGACTACAATTTTTGTCAAACTTTGTAGTTATTTCATAGATAAATGTTTGTATAAAATACCAAATTTGTTCACACTGTGGTGTATAATGTAAATTGAAAACGAAGAAAGATTTAAAACATATATCAATTGCCTTTAATGCGCTCTCAACTTTATAAAAAAATTTGTTGATAACTATATAAAAATAAGTCACCTGACTGTCAGTCTCGACAAAAACTATATATGGTTGTAGTTTTTCTCCCGTTCTTAACGCTTTGTTACATTTTTCATCGTCTACTTCTTTCAACTGTGACACTGTCTGTAAGTAAATTAAACTATAATAAATTACTTATTTCAAAGAATTAATTAAGTTTTAAAAATTAATTAATTCATACATTTGCATAGTAAATGAATGATTGCTGAATTTCTAATTTAGATGGTCTAGTAAAATTTTTTTTTGATCCAGTACATGTTCTTTTTGATATATTTATTGGTTTAAATAATTCTACCAGAACTTTTAGAGCAGCAACTGTGTCAATGCCTATAAAGCATAAACATTTATGTATTAAAAATTAATTTCAAGTAATACATTTTTCATTTCAAGAACTTTTAAATAGGAGCCATATTTGATGTAATAATAATTTGTTAAAACTTACCAGAATCTGGAGGATTTATGATCGCATCTATCAAATTACTATTAATTCCTTTAATTTTATATTTATTTATATAATTTGATAATTTGTTTTTTAAAATTTCAAATTTGGAAAAAAGTATCAGAGTTTTTTGGGGGTATAACTGACTAAAATCCAAATCAATCTGTAATCAAATATGTAAAAATAACTCATAAAAAATTGTATTAAGTAATTTTAGCTTTAAGTTAATTCATACTGACCAATGTAAATCCAAGTGGACTTTTTAATGGAGGATACACTGATAGATAACAACTATTTGTATCATCGCTTAATAAATAACTATATCTCTCTTGAAATGTTTTAAGCCATTTGTTTTCAACAATACTCCAAGGTGATATATTATTTTTCAGCCATATTATATCATCTGCTAATTCTTAACCAAACAAAATAACACATTTAATATTAATAAATATATTAATGAATAAATTCTACAATATTTACTATACCTTCACTTGGTATAAAACTATTTTCAGGAGTAATCTCTTTAGTCAATCTTTGGTTTGTTTTCCTAATTTCTTTTCTGAGATTATTATACTTATCCCACAACTTTCCTCTAGCTGGTGATACTAAATTTGCCTCTTTTTTGTAGGGAGTATAATAAGTCTCTTTATGTTCTTGAGGAAATACAAAACAAATTTCTAAAGATACTGCAATTAATTTTTCAGTAGATATTTTTTTGTCTTCACTTTGTTTGAGCAAATGCGTTACTATTATATGAGATAATTTATTCCTCAACAATCCATTTAGTTCATTATTCTTTAAATAATTATCTAAAATTATTTTGCCTTCATGATAACTGTTCAAAATAGATTTTAAACTAATTGATGTATTTAATGACTGTAACAAAAAATAAAAAAAAAATTGTAATGTGTCTTAGTACGTAAAACAATTTTGTAACAAAATACATTTAACAGTAATAAAATAATGGTTAGATTGCATACAGTCATATTATATACTAGTTAGGTACTTAAAAAACATACTGTAGTATCGATAAAGCTGGTGCTAGGAGTGTCGATAAAGCTGGTGCTAGGAGTATCAATAAGGCTGGTGCTAGGAATATCAATAAAGCTGGTCCTAGTAGGAGTATCAATGAAGCTGGTGAAATGTGTGTTCGTATAGCAGGGGCTAGTTTTATTATCAGTAATACAGTTTCCAAGCGTTGAAAAATTCTGATTGATAATTTCTATACCTACAATTTATTTAAATTATATTATTAAATAGTAAATGCTTAACACAACAAGAATATAAATAATTAAGCATAGATACTTGAATCATCCAAATTTGTCTGCAAGGTTTCATGGGAGTTCAGTATATCATTTACATGACTCAAATTACCATCAGTTAAAATATTAAAAACAGAGGTCTCCGAAGAAGAATTACATGAATTCTATAATAAATAATACAGTTTAATGCATACAATATAGTATTAACTATTAATAGGTACAATTGGGTACACATTATTAGGCACACTTTTATTACTTGGACATTAGATGATAACTCCGACTTCAATTCTGAAATTCTTTTTACTATTTTGGCTCGATGACCCATAGGTAGACAAAGCTCTCGCACCATAGATTCAGTTAAGCATCGGAAAGCTTCTTCATCTACTCCTTGATCTAACCATTACAAAATAATATTTGGGTAGATAACAAGCAAAAATTAATTACAAAACATCGTCTACCTATTTCTGATACAGTCAGACATATTATTACCAAATGGGGAAATAATAGAGGATCTTGATGTTTATAAATTTGATTTAGTTATCCCAAGTACACTTTAATGTATGATTAAATAAATTGTCAATACCTATAACATATTTTACTTTACTTACCGATGACCTAGTAGGAATACACAGATCTATCAATACCGATAAAAGGAGATGACATATATTTATTAATTTGTAATAAGCTAAAGGATTATAAGTATTACCTATTATAAATGTATGGAATTTGTAAAGAAATATAAATTGTTATGTAGTGGGATCAGTGATAGACACAAGTACACAACAAATATAAGGTGACACGTGTGTACGGTGTACCTATTATATACCTACAAAATATAATATTATAATATAAATTCTAATAAGTACTACCTATAGACTACTAGGTACCTACTGTACCTAACTTAGTACTAACTTAGGTACCTAACTTAGTACTAACTTGTTACATTCTGACAAATAACTATATAGATTAAATCTAGTCTTAGGGTAAGCTAGGATTTATTAATTTAGGTTTATGAAACTTACCTATAAATTCTTGAACAATACTTTGCGGAATGTTGAGTTCATTTAAGTTCTTTACAACAAAATTATCCATGATTAAATAATAAAATATTTAATACATACAGTCCATTTGTTATATAATATGTATAATGTATTATAATATAGACGTAGGCACGTCGCACGTTGCACGTATGAATAATGTACACTACTACACTCAATGACCAAAAAAGTCGAAAATCAAAATGTGAAATAGGTACTAGGACGTATTGGTAGACGGGGAATAACAAATACTATAAACAGTGATCACCATACGTCCGTCCATACTCCATATAACAATATTATCAATGATAAAATCGATATCTTGTGTACAATCGATCAAAATTCCCAATTATAATCTGTAAATACAGTACACAAACCCAATTCAACTGCAGCTGCAAAACTATTTTTAAATTCGTAGTACTGTAGACATGTTATTTGCAACCACTTTCGTGACGTTGTTGCAACCTATTAAAATGGTTAAAAGTAACCTTTTATATGGTTCGACCAACCGAAATAAAATAACCATTTACTATAACTAAATTATTTTTTTCCGTGTAATCTATTTAACGTAAATATTAACAGTTTTATTAGCGTTAACTGATAACATGTCATTTACAAAGTAACAATGACACAAATCGATTAGCAATTAAATTAGTTTTATTTGATTTTCTATTCAATAATGTCCTAAATAATTTGGTTTTTTTTTAATTTAATTCTTTAATTTTTTATGTATATATATATATATATATATATATATATTGTAAACAGTGTTGATAAGTTTAATTCAATTAAGAAACATTTTAAACTCTTGTCTCCCCACAAGCTCAGGCTTTTGGAGACAACATTTTTTACATTCTATTCAATTTCATGTTAAATTTAATTTGGAACTATTCATTTGAAATAACAATAAACTACTACTAATAAACGCATTTTAAACGAAAAATATTTTATTGTGAATGTATTTTAGGAGAATCGTCTTTTAGATCACTAATTATTTATCCAACAGTAGTTTAGCCGACACATATTTTGTCCGCCAATATTTTAGATGACATTATTTTAACCGACGACATACTTTTCGGCTAAAATACATTTCAGACAAAAGATTTATCGGATAAAATATGGTTCGGCCAAAAAAATTGTCGGGTAAAAAACTGCCTGCTAAATTATTATTTTCGACTATATTGTTTTCAGCTGATATATTTTCGGATCTAATACTGTTGTCAAAGATATTATTCGGTTGAAATATCTTCCGGTAAAAAATTTTAAGGTAAAATATTATTAGGTTTAAATAAAATTATTTGGCTAAAATTTTGCCAGCTGAAATATTTTCAGCTTAAAATCCGTCGATGACTCTATTTTCGGACTTGGTAGTATATTAATGAAGAGGACACCGAATCACCATGTGTATAAATGTTGTTTGTCTTACATATACGTACAACATTTGGCCAATTTTCGTTCAACATCAGAACCAATTATGTGTTCATAGCTTTATCATTATAGCAATTATTGGGCGTGGAGTCTAAATTTTTCGGTGGGCCAATGTTGGATCATAATTGATCATATATTTACCTATTTACGTGGAAAATTGTTTTAAATTTTCAATTCTTAGCTACAAAAGTTGAACATTTCATACATTTTTAAATACAAAATAATTATTACATTTTAAATGTGATAAATTTTGTAAACATTTAAATTTTAAATGCTTATAAAAAAAATAGTGATTATGTATTTTTACGTTTTTTTTGGCAGATTTATTAGTGGGCACCCATAGGTTCTGCCATGCCGGGTGGGGGATGGCGGCACTTCTTCTCCATACACCGGGACTTGCCGAAGGAAAATGCCTCCCGCGACCAGGAATCGAGCCGGTGCGGCCTGCGTCGCAACCGACGCCTT